GTAAAGATTAGTAGTAAAGGTTATTTATTGTTTACCTTATTATGATGTCGTAGATCTTATTTTTGGCTGAACTCTGTGGTATACTGTGATTATCTTTCTTGCACAATTTTTTGTTTTCCCCGGAATTAATTGATTTTTTTTTTAAGTTGGCTAAGTTTTACTAATTTATTGTAAATCTCCTCCCACTACCTTTAGTTTCATCTCCTGGAAGAATTCTTCCCAAGAACCTTCTAATTTGGCCCAGTTGCTCTCTCAGCCCACTGCTCAATGTCATTTTAGGATTTCCCTTCACCGTCTCTGGGAGATTCTCCTTACATCTCTTTTGTGTTGGAACTCTTGTTTCCTGGATTCTGTATTTTGTAGTTTACTGCTTTGTTTTGGTAGAGTACATCCTCAAGTACCTTTTTGAGAAGGGTGAATAGGAGATAACATTTTTAAAGCCTTGCATTTTTGAAAAATGTCTTTATTCTGTCACTGTATTCGTTGATCATTTAGCTGAGTGTAAAATTTTAGTTTAGATTAGAAATCAATTTCCTTTGGGATTTTTCTCCATTATCTTCTGGCTTTTCACTATTGCCATTGATGACTGCCATTCTGAATTTTGATCCTTTCTAAGAAACTTACTTTTAAGCTTGCTGAATCTTCTGCTTGTCCCCATGGTTTTGAAATTTTACGAGATGTGCCTTGATTTGGTTCTGTTTCAAGTAGGAAATAAGCTTCAGTTTGGGGAAATTTTCCTAAATTGCTTCTTTGGTTGTTTTCTCTCTGTCTGCTTTGCTTTCTCCTTTTAGAATGCCTATTTTTCAGATGCTGAACTTTCTGGGTGGGTCCTCTAATTTTGTTATATTTCCTCTCCAATTTTTGTTTTTTGACTTTGTTTTATCATGTGAGAGATTTCCTAACTTTATATTCTAACTCTTCTATTGAGTTTTTCATTTCTGCTATCTTATTTTTTCCAATGCTTCTCTTTTTTGGTTCTCTGCTTTTTATTTTGGCTGTATCCTGACCTTGTTTTGTGCATTGCACTATCTTCTCTTAATCCTATGATTTTGAGTCTTCTTTTTTAAAGCATTTTGTTTTCTCTGCAGTCTTTGTTTCCTCCAAGTTGCTTTTTTCCCACTTGTTGTTTGACCTTGAATTCCTATTAGAACCTTTTCTCAGTTGTCTGGTGATCCTTGGCTTTCTCTCATTTATAAGAGAGAGAGAGGCTCCAAAAAGTCAGTTGCAAGCTTTTTGCATGTGGATGGAACTTGCTGACTGTGGGCTTTACTGCAGGGAAATCTGGTTGGGCCATTTCTGTTCAGGAAATTTCCTATGTCTGTATATTTATATCTTTTCTCTTAGTGTGGTCCTTATCCAGTGTCCTGGAGCCAGGTGGGAGAGGAGAGCTGAGTCATGTCAACATTGAATATATACTCTTGTACAGTTTCACTGTACAGTCTTGTACCAATCAAGTACCATCTTGAGCCCCAATTATTCATTGTTTCTCCTGGTATAGAGACACTCTGTTTTATAGCCTTTAAATAATAAACCTCTGTTTTTCTGCCAGGGTTGGGGAGAGTTAGTCACCTAGCTATATAGCATGGGAGAGGGGATTTGGGGAGTCTGGTCTTTTTGTTTTGTTTTGTTTTTTGCTGAGGAAGATTAGCCCTGAGCTAACATCTGTGCCCGTCTTCCTCCGCTTTGTATGTGGGTGGCCGCCACAGCATGGCTGACGAGTGGTGTAGGTCTGAGTGGTGCTGGGGGTCTGAACCTGCTAATCTGGGTCGCAGAAGTGGAGTATGCAGAACTCAACCACTAATGCCAGGGGCCGGCCCCAAGAGGAGTCTGTTTCTTAAACAGAACTGCAAACAATTCTTTTGCGTTAAGTCCTTCTTCACCACCACTTTTAGAGATACCAGGGTCTGCTGATTCCTGAGCTATTTGGAGGTTTTGCAGCATAAATTGGGTTGTTTCAAGATTTCCTCCCAGCTGGACCTAACACATGTTTATTTGCTTTCCAGTTTCTAAAATTGTGTTATCTCCTGTCCTGTTTTCTATTTCCTTGAGAGTTAATTCCTTAATGACAACAACAGCAACAACAATAAAGATCTGATTTTAATAAGATTTCAGGAAGGAGCCAATGCTCAAGTGTCCATTGAACCCTCCATCTTTAGCTGGAAGTCTACATGAGGAGAATTTTCCTTCATTTGTATCTCTGTGAACTTTAATTGTTTTCTTTGGCCAGGATTTTCCTTTGACCAATGAATTATTAAAACATCAATAAAATTTTAATTGTATGGAATGGTGGAGAGAGCCCTTCACTTGGAACCAGGAGAGTTTTTTTCTAGACATTGGGCAAGTCACTAAACTTTCTAAACATCAGCTTCTTAATCTGTAAAATGAGCGAGATAGATTGGGTGATGGCTAAGATTCCTTTCCACTCAATGGTGTGATTCTGTATAAGACTATTAATCTCTCGTGTAAATCAAATAAGGTTATTTTTTTTCAATGCGTTCAACATGAAATATTTTCCTGTCCCTGATGTTGAGACCTTTTGCTTCTAGAACTGCAGATGAGCCACGCCCCACTTATCCTCCTCGGTCTTCCAAAAGTCTACCTTTCATTTGGTAGCTATGGTATTGCCCACTGGCTTGGGAACTACATATTTGCATATGGCTTGTCTCCAGGGCATAGCTTGCTTTTCCCTTACAAGACATTCTTGTAAGTTGTCATTTTCACCCTGCATTGAAAATATGTTGCGGAAAGATGAAAAGATGATTTCCAAAAAAGTGGCATTTACACATCCACAGTTTCTCAGAAAAAAAAAAGATGGAATACCAAAATTTTAATTTAGAATAAGGAGGACGAACTTAGATGCAAAGGAACAAGAGTTTTTCTCTGACTTCTCAGCTTTGGATAACTAATGAATTAATTGGGTTTGATATCTGGTTGCTTATTGAGAGGCTGCCGTAAACAGGGTATAAAGAATTGTGTGTAGGAGCCCAATCTCTTCCTTTAAGATAGTAGCTCTCAATTCTATCTGCACATAAATCATGATGCCCTGGGCCTCACCCCAGACCAATTGAATCAAAGTATCTAGGTGTGGGTTCTGGACATTGCATCAAAAAAAAATCCCGCTATGTGATTTTAATGTGCACGTAAGGTTGTGAACTATTTCTTTAGGAGCTTGAAATCTAGGTGAGAAGTTAGAATATTTGCATCAATTGCTATAGAACGTGAAAGACAATGATGAACTATATGATGGGTGATACAGAGATTGTGGATACAGGAATTGGAAGGTTTTTAATTAACTGGAACAATTAGGAAAGGCTTCATGAAGAAGGTGAGTTTTAAGCTAGTGGAGTTTTCATAGGTGGAGAGAGGGGACTCTCTAGGCCAGGGAATGAATGCTGACTATTTTGACTGGGATGTGGAGTGTTTGGGGAGCAGTGGAAGTACAGATTGGATATTAGGTTGCAGCCAGATTTTGGACCATCTCCAGTGTCAAACTAAGGAGTTTTGGCTTTATCCTGCAGGTCATGGGGAGGCTTTGATGAGGCATTATTGAGGACTTCTGATGAATGAAATGGCTTAATGGAAGTGGTCTCTTTGAAGATTGACCCAATGGGAATGAGGGGTTATGTAGTTTGAATAAAATGAGCCTGGGGAAAGGAAGACCAGTTGGAAAGCTACTATCATGTGCCAGATGGTAATGCCCTGAGCTAGGAAAACAGCAATGGAATTTTAAAAATAAAGATAATAGACATTTGTATAGTGTTTTCATAATAAGTAAGTTCTTTCCCACATCTCATTAAACCTCACAATAACCTTGTGGTGTTTACCTCCATATTTTATAAATGAAGGAACTGATGTTCAGAGGTTAAGCAGTTGTAAAGTAAACTTATAGAAAATGAAGGGGCCTGGTAGGATGACGACAGATCAGTAAGAGGGAGTTGCAAGTGTGCTTCCGAGGTATCAGGTTAGGTATGAAGTTAGTAGAATTCCTCAGTGGCAAACTCAGTGTCAAGTTTCTGCCTATGCTCTCAGATAACCACTTGTGCTCTTCGCATGACTCCTGTTGCCTCTATGGTTTGATGTGCAATGACTTCTTTTAAGTGTGTGGTGGATGGAAGAGAAGAAAAGGCTGTTGTCAATTCAACTTGTCTCAAATAAGAATCTTCAGGCCTTTTCTGAGTGCCTTTGGGTTTTCAGATAGTTAAATGTTGTTGAATTTTAGAAGGCTTAGTCTAAGTATGGGTAGTCTGGTTGTGGAGGCTCCAAATATAGGGCTGAGCACCTTATATAGATGAGCTCTGCCCTGAGTAGGCAGGGTGATAAAGGGTTAGCTGAGAGTTCACTGTGTAGGGTAAGTTAGCTGAGTGGGGTTAACTGTGACTGGGTGTGTTTCATTTTCTCTTGTGGTTGAGACAGGAGCCACAAGGAAGAGAACTGTGGAGCATGGTTGTGTAGATATCGGAGAACATCCTCATAGCTCTGGTGACTAGGATGCTTGATCAAGATCACATCCTTATCAGAGCTGGAGACTGAATTATATTCACCACTGTGGTGATTCATTTGTTCACAAGTCTGCTGTGTCTACATGCTCATCCATTTTGTGTACCAAGATTCTGAGGCAATTTAAATACCAGCCTAAACCAGCCATGCAGGTGACGAAATGTACTTTTCCATCTAAGATATTTGTTTACCTGAAATCAAATAGCAGAAGAGTGTGCCAGAAACTCTCTGGGGAGGTACAAAGGAGTGAATCATCATCGTGGCAAACCTTGATTAGCTTTTCTTATGAAATGCGGGGATATGAGGAGCAGGATAGAGTCTGGGGAAGGGGAGGAGGTTGAGCTTCTGTGCCCTGGCATTCTTAGTCTAGGTGCAAAGAGTAGCATTCATCGGCTCCAGCTGTGGTGAGGGTAAAGTCTATTTTGGTAATTTGGAATGAATGAGAATATCTTTGGAAAATTAAATGTCACATCTTATTTCAACTGTTTATTTTCTCACTTTAGAATACTGGGATCTTCAATGGCAGGAGAAGGAGTGATCAGAAGACCGAGATGAATTTTAACACTATTCTAGAAGAGATTCTTATTAAAAGGTCACAGCAGAAAAAGAAGACATCACCCTTAAACTACAAAGAAAGACTTTTTGTACTAACCAAGTCCATGTTAACCTACTATGAAGGTCGAGCAGAGGTAGGAGACAAAGTTTACTTTGCTGCTTTCTATGTTGATACTATTTTATAATACTCTTCCCCTCCCCCCCAATTCTTATGGAATAAGCCTTAGGTTAATGAAGTTAAGGTAATGACTTGTTATCATTTGGATTTGAAAGATAAAGTTTAGGGTATGGATAGAAATTATTCACAAGTCTGTCAATTATGGAGTTAGTATATATGGGTGTACATTTTGTATCAGCCTACTGAATTAATCTGTTAGAGAAAACAAATTCCTACATCAGTTTTAGATCCTTATGGAGTTCATTAAGTATGTTGTGTGCGTGGCTCTTTCCCATAAACTACTATATTATGTATCAAAGTGTTTCTTTAGCACATAGAAACTGTATCTCTGTCCATTGCTTTATATGACTATGTCTTCATTATTAAGTGGAAGTTATGTAAAACTGGTTAGTGATTTGGTGGACCTAACACATGACTGAAGTTGACCTAAAGCCGAACTATTCAACTTTTTTTGTAATAAGCTGCTACTGCAAGGTTCCTTTGATGGGAGCAGGAAGAAGCAGCCCACCAAAAACCTGGTCAGTGGGCATGTGGCATAGGAAAGGCGTGTTGTCAGCCATCTCCTCCTGGTTTTCAAATCCCTTTATCCTCTGGTTCTACCACTAGATGAAGTGCATGCATGTGTTGTCACCCTGGCCCACCTTTTTTCTCCTGACATGTTGGGAATGCATTGCCTAGTACTGCAGGTCCAGCCATGCTCCTTCCTGCTAGAAATATTCTTGGGTTCCAGGCAATGGCTGGAGACTAGATTGTTCTTGTTGACCACGTGCTATTATTGTCTAATTGGTTACAGTGGATTGTTGGTAATCTTGATGTTTGGTTTTATTTTATTTAAGTCTACATTTTTCCTAGAGCAACTTCCTCAGAAACTGATTTTCTTGTTTTTATTTTGCTTTTGTTTTTTTTTACTCTCACTGATTTCTCTGTGTTTTGGTTCCTCCAGTTCAGACAGAATGGTGTTGCTTCTCACTGGTGGTCCTCAACTCTGTTAATTTCTGCTGTAGCTTGTCATTGTGACCTGTGGAATTCTGCCAGTTCATGTCATTTGGGACTATAGTTCTTTATCTACCTTCCTAAATCCCCAAAATGCTGAAGACCAAAACTTCAAAAGCTCTTTTAGTTGCAAAACCTGTCTGGAGATGGGGCTATTTTTAGTCTTTATTTATCCTACTCAATGTGAATCTTTTGTGTGTGTATATGCAAAAATATTAATGTATTTAATTAAGTGGGGCTATTGCAGTCCCTGCTGGAGGTGTTATGTAATATATGGTGTATGTGCTGTATTTCATTTGTTAAATCTGAAAAATTCAGAATTCCAGAAGGGTTTCAAATAAGACCAGAAATACAAATTATTTTAAAATCTAAAGTAGATTTCTTTTTTTGGATGAGGAAGATTGGCCCTGAGCTAACATACATTGCCAATCTTCCTCTTTTTGCTGAGGAATATTGGCCTTGAGCTAACATCTGTGCTTGTCTTCCTCTATTTTGTATGAGGGACACTGCCACAGTGTGACTTGATGAGCGGTGCATAGGTCTGTGCTTGGGATCTGAACCACTGAACCCTGCGCTGAAGCAGAATGCACGAACTCAACCACTACGCCCCTGGGCCAGCCCCTAAAATGGATTTTAAAGGGAAACATTAATAAATTTTTGCTCTATGGTAATGATTTGTTATAATGTGAATTTAATATAATAAGTCTAAGCAAAGAATAGAAATATAACACTGAAAGTGGTAAAATATGGTCTTTTACTAACCAAAAAAGCCTCAGACACCTGCATTATCTGCTTTGAAATTTGGACTGATACTATTGAAATATGTTGCAATTGTTAAGGTACTTTGAAGATACTAAGCACACAACGTTAAAAGAGCCCTAATTGCTTTAGTTTAAACAGAATGAAGAGAACAGTAGAACCTCTCTTATTTCAGAACTTGGCCCACTGTGTTGCCTGAGAGCAGCCTCCGTCACTGTGAGAACCAGAAAGGACAGAATGAGGAGGTTGTCATAACATGTAAAATCCCAGCCTCTGACACTTAGCATCAGAATCCATCACCTTCCTGGCTACTGATGACCGGCCCAGGGAGCCTAGTCCTAGCCTTAACCCCGACTCCTCTGATGCGCTGGGCATTTTGATCCCTCCTGGTTTCTTTCCTCAGGGACTGACAGTCTTCAGCATACTTATGACCTTCAGCTTGAAATATGGTCGCAGATTTGTTTGTCTTTCACAGTTAAAAATAAACAGTTGTCAATATTAAAAAGTTAGGAATTTTAAGATAAGAATCTGAATTCTTGAAAAAAACCAAAGTTCTGACAATACTGGGCTGAATTCTTGTGTGACAACTCTCTGCCTGGCTTCTGGGTAAGCCCAGTAGCACCTCACTGCGTTTCTTCCCTGTTTGGGTTCATATGCTTAGTTCTCTGTTTCCCATGGATGAATGTTCTGGTTTTCATCTCCCTCGTCCTAGAGACTGAGATCTAAAAAGGGCTGTGACATGGGCAACCCATGAGAATCAACAGGTATTTTAAAAATAATATTTTTAAAAAAATGTAAGACTCTAGAGGTAGATTATAAAAACCATGGGGGCCATTCAGGGGTTAAAATAAATAGCCGTAGAGATATTTATTTTAGTTGTTCATAGTTCTGTTTTTTAAAAGAAAAACTGGTAAAGGCTATTGATTGATCTAGTAGCTATGATTCCTAGTTTCTTCATGGCAATTAAGTGCCACTGATGCTTTGTTAAAACTCTCAGTTAATCACCGTGTGAGACGGACATCCATCCTCTCCTGGTTCTCTGGATCCCAGCTCCTTCAACATGATGGCAACAAGCTTTTATTGAAATTATTCCTATTTAGTACAGTTTATTATGGTTTTCGAAGCATGCTGAGAAATTCTCTTCTAAACGATGAGAAATTCAGTCAAGCCTTTCTTCCGAGTCTGATATTGGGAAACTTGTGTTTCAGTTTCCACTGTGGGCCATTCTTTGGTTTGTCCTCCTTGCTCTTACTGCTTTCAGTTGGTTCATGTTTCTGCATATTCTAGTGAACTGGTAAAGGATCTTCCCGGCAATTTATATTGTTTTCACTTAGTCATAATAACACAGAACAAAGGACACTGGGGGTTTCACAAGTGATCTTGCTTTCTGGTCAGGGAACTAAATGCCACGTGGGTTAGACCACCTGACATTCCAGTGGAGGCTCCGTCTGGTATGGAGATGAAATCCAGGGAAGAGCAGGGCTGGAGTTTAATCAGGAAAAAGGCCTATTAAATAATGATGAGAAAACAAGGAGTGGAGAGATTTCTATATGTTGAATAAAAAAAAATTCAAGTAGTATGTAAATCTGCAACTCTCCCTAGCTCGGAAATCAGAACTTTTTATAATTGGATTTTGGTACTACTAATATGGCTAGTTTGTTGTTTGTTATACTGCTGCAGTATGGAAACTGGCAAATAGTTTATAAAGTCGAGGAGCAGGGAGACTAGTTGTGTCAGGGATCCCCAAGGCCACCCCCAGGTTCGGTGATTCACTAGGACTCAGGGGACTCAGCATATAGGGGTACTCACAGCTATGATTTATTACATGAACGGAGACAAAGCAAAATTAGCAAAGGGACAAGGTGCATGGGGCCAGTCTGGAGGAGACCAGGCACAAGCTTGCAAGAGTCCTTTCTCAGCAGAGTCGCAAGGGGTGTGCATAATTCCTCCAGCGTTGAATTGTGACAGCTGTGAAATGTTGTCTACCAGGGAAGCTCATTAGGGACTCAGTGCTCAAGGTTTTTGTTGGAGGCTGGTCACATAGGCACCCTCTGTGCCCCAATTCCAGACTCCAGAAGGAATGCAGGTGTTCAGCATAAGCCATATTGTCTGCACAAACAGTTTAGGAACAATGAGCTATTTTTATCAGTGCTAGGAATGGTGGGACTTTCCCAAAGTCCAAGTTCCCAGATGCCAGCCAAGGGCCAACCTTGTAGGCAGGCATTTCCCAGGAGAGTAGTCTCAGATGCCTGCTATGTTAACTCTTCTGCACACTAGTAGCGATAATGATACAAATTATTACGCACCAAACACATGCTAGGCACTGCGCTAAGTACTTACATGCATTATTTCCTTTATTCCACAAAACAATGCTATATTAAGTCTTATTACTACCCCCATTTCAAAAATCAGTGGCATGAGGCTTAGAAAGGTTAAAAACTTGTACAAGGTCATACACCTAATGAATGGCAGGGCTATTTTTTCAAAGCCTATCTTTGAGATAACCTTGATACTCCAGGGAAAATTAGAAAAAAAATCCATTAAATTTCTCTATAATACAGATAAAGTTTTATTTTAAAACTTTTGAGGATATTTTTATTTATTACTTTCAGTTATGATTTTTTTGAATTTTCTTTGTGGTAGAAGAAAACCAACACTAGACAGGGTTTTTGTCCTGGCTCTGCCCCTATCTAATTGGACTTTATAAAACAGTGTTCTTCAATCTGTATATATAGTTTAGAAATTACTTTCACTTACATTGTCTGTCCCTTTGTACTCTTAACTCCTCCTTTGTCATCACTATTTCATCCCCAACACACCTCCGATCTGTTACCAAGTCCTCCGAATTCTCCTTCCCTTTGTTACAACCTTATTGCAGCTCCCAGCCCCATTCTCTTAAGTGCATTTCTGCTCTACCTGATTCTACCGTGAATCTTCATCTTTCATCTGTAGAGCCATCAGAAGGATATTAAAAACCTGTAGCTTCATATCTTCTCTGGGATCAAATTAAAACTCCTCAGCTTGGAATACAAGGTACTTGATGCAGTTTCCTTATCTTCCACACCTGGTCTCTCCATCCCTGTGTCTTCCACCTGCAGTTGCTCTTTCACACTGTGCCTTTGCTAACGTTTCTCGGTCTATTTGGGGTGATATACTTCTCTACCTTCCTGCCAGGGTCTGTCTATGCAATGACTATGTCTTTTA